GATAGATGGATGAATAGATAGATGGATGAATAGATAGATGGATGAATAGATAGATGGATGAATAGATAGATGGATGAATAGATAGATGGATGAATAGATAGATGGATGAATAGATAGATGGATGAATAGATAGATGGATGAATAGATAGATGGATGAATAGATAGATGGATGGATGAATAGATAGATAGATCTATCTATCACTGTTTGTATAGATGTGCAGATATGGTGATTTTTTTTTATCTTGTTTTTTCTTGTTATTCCAGGAAAGAGCTTCACTCTCTCTATCAATGTGCTGACCTCGCCCCCACAGATCGCCACCCTACAAAGAGCGATTAAAGTGACTGTGGATGGACCACGACTACCACGGCGTGAGTAATGGTTTAAGGTGATAAACGTCTTGGCAGTTTTCCTTCGTGTTTGACCAGTTTGACTCTTCTCTGTTTTAGGACAAAGGCAGAAGGAGTTGAAGTCAGCAGTTTTCTGTCCTTCAGGTAACAGCGCTGCCTCCTCAGGTATGAAGAGGCCAAACAATCTGAGTCATCCCTACTATTTTATTCTTCAGTACAGACTGCTGTTAGTGCGAAAAAATATTGGCAACAATTTTCGCTTCACAATTAGAGAATGTGTTAAATACCTTTACCGTAATTTCTGGACTATAAGTGTTTATTCACACACTTTTTAACTATAGTGAGTGCGGCCTATATTCAGGTGCGCTCAATAGTCCGTAAATTACGGTACTTTTACTTTTAAAGTGCACATCACAAGTCGTGATCAACCACCTGCAGTGACGTGTTTGTTTGTTTTTTTCTCGTTGTCTTTTAACAGACTGCAAACCCCGCCCCTTCTCCCTGTGGACTAAAGAGCCCTCCTTCCGTGGCCATGTGACCTCTTTGACCTCCTCCTTCGTTCCAAGTCCCAAAATGCACCACATACCCGCCCTGTCCTACTCCTCCCAACCGCCTCCATACAGCTCATACCTGTCTTCTCCTCCTCTACCTCCACCTCCTTCCACTGCTCCCCTCAGCCACTGTGGTCCGTTCCAACCTGGCGGCTTTTACTACGGCTCCAACCAGCCGCTCCAGGCAGCAGCAGAGGAGGACAGGAGTTTCGTTTCTGCGTTGAGCAATTACATCGACGGGACTTGTATTTCTATCAGAGGTGATGAACCTGTCTGGAGACCTTACTAATCACTCAACGTGTTGTGTCACTTGATGGCCACTTGGCCACATCCGGTCTGATTAGACGTCAAGTGGGGTCGGACCAGTACAATCGTAACATAATTACCTATTAATAACAATGCGTCCATGTCTTTCTGCTTTGTTTTAACGCAAATAAGTACAAGCTTCTGTCCCCTAGCTTCTGTGATGCTTTGACCCATCACCTTAGCGAGCAGGCGGCACTTAACTTCCTTATCCACCAGGCCACCATTGCCCCTCAATATCGGAATCGCAAATCAAGTGTTCGGACAATATCGACGTATCGGATATCTGCAAAAAAGTTAATCTCTGACATCCCTAATATTTAACGTAATATCATCAACATGTAGCGTTTGTGCATTTAACGTAATATCATCAACATGTAGCATTTGTGCATGTTTTCACTTTCATAATTCATCAAGCGGACCAGATTGAACCCCCCCCCCCCAGCGGGCCGGTTTGGGTCCGCAGACCGTATGTTTGACAATGCTGCTTTTAAATCAAATTTGAAAACCACCTGGGAAAGGCGACCTCCTCAGGCTGTGATGTCTATTGCAGGGGTGCCCGATGAGTGGATCGCGATCTACCCGCAACTAGAGTGCTAATAAAATAAAATAAAATAAAATAAAATAAAATATATAAATATAATTCTATAGTGTGTCGTTGTGACCCTACACTATACTAAAATTCATTCATATTGTGCCATAGGTGTGAGGTCTGGTCTTTGTTGATTAGTGTCATCACACTCACCTGTGTTTGTCATTAGTCTCACTGGTGTCACCTGCTGCCCTTGGTAAATATACCTCTCTCCCTCACTGTGTCTTGGTGGGATATTTCTGCTGTGTTTCATGGTGTTTGTGGCCTCGTGGTGGTCCTGCCTTGTGCTTCATTCCTTGATGTTCTGCTCTTCATTCCTAGTTCCTGCGACCCAGTGAGTTTTTTGGTTTTTTTTGCTCTTTGTAAATAAATCCTCTGTACTATTCAACCCGTACCCAAACATATAATGTGTATATAAAGTATATTGAGTTCAAATGTATATATGTATATGTATGTATATATGTATATATGTATATGTATGTATATATGTCTATATATATGTATATGTATGTATATATGTATATATGTATATGTATGTATGTATGTATATATGTATATATATATGTATATATGTATATGTATGTATATGTGTATATATATATGTATAGTATTAGTAATATATCAGTGTAGGTAGATCACTTTAGCCTGCTATAGCCCTGATCTATTGGGATGGGTATGTGACGTGTTTAATTGGAATTAGTAATAGGCGAAAATATGTGTAAATGAGGCATTGGTTGCCAGGTTTGCTGCAAGTTTCGGTAAGAAAAAAAAGCGTCTCATTTTCATCATTTGTCTCACAGTCATCTGAAACACGTCAATTCTGTGACATTAAACACAGGCGGAGCTTAGTGCTTTTTCATCCCGATTTAAAAAAAAAAAAAAACTCACAGAAGTGCCACTGTGTGTGTCATGTCACGCAAGTAAGACAAATTCACATTACACAGTCCTGCAAACAAATTTCTTATTTTCTCAATCGTGCCGCGCAGCTCTGATTACCGATGTGTTTCTAAAGGTCACATGGAATAGCCAAAGTTTCATAGTAGATGAGGGGAACACACACACACACACACTAACAACTGATAATTGCCTTAAGGAAACAAGTCATCACAAGGTCCGTTGATTAAACATAGTCTGAATAAATTCGAGGTCATGGTCGAGTACGTTTGAAGAATACTTGACTTTGTGCATGTGTATTTGATCTATCTGTCGTCGCCAACATCAGTATCACTTGACTGAAAACACTATAATTCCAATTTCTCATTGACCAAAGATACAACAACAATTATAGATCAGTGCAGTTTCATATATATTTAGCATAAATGAAGAAAACACTGAAATTATATTGCAATACCTCCACGACCCCCGGACGGGCCCCAACCCCCATTTTGGAAACAAATGCCATGTAGTAAATGTTTTATTCTGGTCACTGTAAAAGACGCAGTACTTGTAATGTTTAACACATAGAGTACAAAAAATACATACTATTGCGTTATATTTTATATATGTACGGTACATCTAGTTCAGTTTACCTGTATAGTCTTATAACCACATTGCAAGTACTCTTGAAGTAACTAGTTTCAAAAAGGTTAGTTGAACACAACCATACCATGTTATGCTCTGGTGGACCGCATAAAATGATGTGGCGGGCCAGATTTTCCCCACGTGCCTTATGTTTGACATATACGCCTTCTACATTTGGTGGCTTTTGCGATACAGTAAAACTACCAGAGATCACATTTTAGTATAGATTAGCCTATGCGTGGGCAAAATATATGGTGCTAAAATTTATCCCCATCTAGTGGGCAAATGTGGGTATTGCAGATAAATACCAATAAATTATATAATTTGCAAAAATTTGGCGGGTCAGATTAAAAAGCTGAACGGGCCTCATCCGACCCCCGGGCCTTACTTTGCCCAAGCCTGGATTAGCCTTTAGGTTTTCAGTCTTTCGCAACACAGTTTTTGCGTCCTCTGTTCCTGCATCGGTCCTGGCAGGGAGTCGGGGGGGACGGGGGGGGGGTGTTTGTTGTGAATTGGCGGGATTATTTCTTATAGGTACAGGGGC